ACAGTTGAAAAAAATGGAATTGCGACCTTGAAGCTAAGTTCAGCAAGATTTTTTCTGTAGAGTAACGGAAAACCTTTTTTCCGTCCAAATTATATCAGCAGCGTAGAAACTTTCGATACTAACGTTGTTGATGTGATCCTCGGGTGCTGTAAAAGTTAAGCAGACGTTCAACGTGACCTTTTTAATCCAATTTGTGAGTGTTAAGTAACAGCAACGGGGTATATCATACATCATCCTGTCAATTTAACGAAGGTGCCCAGAAGTCCTCGCAGGTCGTATTTCTAAAATAATCATTAAATCGGTATCGATACTGCCGCGTTTGAAACACGTCATTGATGAGATCATTACGTTTACGAGATCGAGTAGTTTAACTCGGTAGTTCATAGAAATTCGATCATTTTGACTTCCTACGTCTGCTGGCCAGTAAGTATTACAATCGCGAAAACTTTCTTTCGAAAATGTTTTTCGGATATTATATGACATGTACAACACGAAAAACCGTGTCATTCAGTCCTGTCGGTCTGTCTGTTGGTATGTCCGTAAATGGCTCAAACTTCGTTTTTCGCGGTTTCAGGAGATCCTGATAATTTTAGAAAAAAAAATCAGGGGTAAAAAATGGGGCGGTGGGACAGGGTTATATCAAATGTTTTTAACTTAATTATGCTGCGGCCGACCACTGACAGCCAACCATGCGTGCTTTGTGGGCAACTTATCAGCATGGTCTAGCTCGGTATCTGGCACACCGAACAAAAGCATAGGAACTTTATCCAGGATGTAAGTCTATGGCGCTGTCTTATTTCGATAAGGTTCGAGGAATAGTTAATACTGTATAAATAATTTGCTAAGTACAACTGAAGACGATCTTTACTGAGTGGGGCATCATGTTTTCATGTAAGATCAATTTAATTAAAAATCTTTGTATTTTCCACCTGGGATATCAGCCGGTAGAATTTGATTTTAATTGTTAATCTCTATATGACTAGAGCACGACCAAATTCGACAGGCAAGGACTCAGATTTAACTTTATTCTATATTTGACAGTTCAAAAATGTAGGAAACTGTCAAACAAAAAATAAAAGAATACATCACGTTGAAACAGCAAAAGAAAAAATCAACAAACAAGTGACATAAAACAAGATTCACAAAAGGAAGTAAAAAGAGCCGATAGTTATGAATATGTTTGTAATTTGTCCTGATAAAACCCTCAAAAGTATAATACGGATGAGAAACCAAAAAATCCTTAACCCGTCTCCCGAAAAGTTGCATTGCCATGCTATCTCTAACTGCAGTTGTTAGGATGGATATGCATACTTAGTTCATAAATGTAGAGACAGGCACGAGTTAGAATGTTGAGGCTCTTAGGGCCGTATCGTCAGTCTTTATGGCCTCCTTGATTTTCATAGTCTTTTCACTCCTTCAGAAAGGCTGGTATATTTCTAGATTTCTACTGTTCTGCGTCAGCGTCAACGCTCTCCTTTTGAATTGTAGGCTTATATAACAACTGATATAAATCAAAAGCATAAACAATTTGATGCAAATAGATATTTGTAACAAAACATAAAAATAGAGCGCTGATACGAAACTATGATAGAAACTATAATAGGAGACATAGAGACAATAGAAGAATTCTGCACTGGCCGACTGAATATTTTTGCCAGCACAACGTAGGTCGTTCTGGCGACGTTATGTTCTGCGACTAGTGGACAAGGCTTTCGATTTAATAGAGCATTTGGTACTTATGCTGCCACCATGCGGATTTAGTTTTCAAGATGTGTTAATAATCGGTTTCCAAACCTTTTTGACCTACTGCATAATTCTGATGGGAAACGGCTTGTGGTTGATATTTTTATTATGTTTTAATTTAACATTTTTCATGTTGTAACTATGAATCAATTCTCTCTCTACTTTTATAGTATGTTGATGCACTGTCGACGGCCGATAAGAAACTACATTTTGCACACATTTTGCGACGTATAAGCACATAATTATGTATATGACACCGTTGTACCTTTGTGTGCTTCACAAGCCGTAATAGGTCAGTAATTATAGAAAGAAGAGAAAGTTAGCTGCCGATAATATACTGTTTGTGTAATTGGGTATACGTAGAACATAATAGATGGTTGTGAACGGACACCAACGGAGAAAATAGGAAAATTAAGCATAAACTCGCTGTTTTATGAAGATCAATGTCGCTAATTTGATGGGGTATCATCACGCTTTATTTTGGTGCTCTTCGTCATCAGCTTGTCAGGACGCTTGGATCTTTGCCCTTAAATATAATTGATCTCATATAATGAACTACTTATAGGCTCAGATTCAAAACGCTTCATCTACCCTCATTAAACTCGTATTTTAAATGCAGTTTATATCAAAGCTCTTTAACAAATAAGGGTTGCCTACGCTTAGTCTGTTGCAATAAAGGATTTTGAAATGGCTTTAAACATACATCTGGACCAATTAACTTTTGTTCGCCACGTTACCACGGGTAAAAATTTGATGTTTTATTTACTATGCCCCCCCCCCCTAACTTGAGGATTATAACATGCATTTTAAACTCTGAGTTCTTCTTTTCTACCTTAACATTTTTGTCCTATGCTACTGGGCAAGAAAGTATTGTAAACGAAAAAAGTTTCGAAAATGAGATATTATGTTTTTTGGATGTAACGTGACATGAACATCACGAAAAACAGTGTCACTCATTTTCGTCGGTCTGTCTGTCTGCCTGTCGGTCTGTCCGCTAATTTTATTAGCGCCTATAATTTGGAAAGTACCACTTGTATTTTGATGAACTTTTCGCATAACGTTACTACTATGTCAAGGATGAAAAAGCTTTGTAGTTTTTGAACATTGGTCCAGTGTGATGGTGAGCTAGGGGCAAAATCACGAAAAACATAAAAATTACTTACACTTCGTTTTTTGGCATTTTAGAGGCTGTTGATCATTTTCGGAATTTTTTTTGTAGGCGTAGAAACTTGGGTGTTGGGAGTTGTAGGGGATAGGTATTTGTAAATGTAACGTCTTTAGTATTAGCCAAAGACGTTCTATCATTAAGAAGCTTCTGATACCGGTAGACAACCGAAAAATTAAATGATAAAGGTCTGATGTATAATGTGCGCATAAATTGAAATAATATGGCAATCGGCGTTGCGTGCACGGAGCTATGTTGCAGAGTACGTCGTGTAGGGCACTGCCGACTGTGCCATGGATAGCAAACCCCAACTGTTTGCGGTGGTGTCTTCACTGACGCACCGCTACAGGAGTACTATTTATATATTTTAACAATATTTGGATATTAGGAATACTTACCATTTTAGGGTTCTGCGGTGCATTTGTAAATTATGATTTATCTGGTTTTATATCTACAGATATATTTTTCTGAATTTTGTGACCCTTAAATGTACCAGCCATTTCGGATAACTTGCAATTTGTGTTATTCCGTTCATGATGGTTCTCTGAATATTTCGTTAAGTAGATGGACTCATTGCTCTTGACGCATTGATATACAACAGTCACGGACTGACAAACCGAAATAAATGAGAAACAGACTTGTGTGGTGTAGATATCTTCAAACAACAGAAAACTTGTGAATCGAAGATCGAATATTATCGCGAGCTTAATACTTCCATCGTCTAGGTAGTGCTGGATTTTGAAAATTGATTCAGAGTTGGCGGAAATAAAATCGCTGGAACATGGTATTACAACCTTTCGTAGATTCCTGCTCATTTCCAAACAGTGTTTGGGGGAGATGAAAATTGTAGGATTTCAGCTGTATGCGGTGAATTGTTGAACATTTTGTGTCAGTGAAAGACATTCTATTATTAAGAAGCTGCTCATCTCAGTTATACTATGTGCTTATTAGTCACAGGCATTTTCCTTAAATCTGCTATGGAAACAGAAATATGATGGATTTGCTACAGTTTGATATGCAGAGGTCGAACCCAAGTGAACCTACTTAATCGCGATTCGATTTCGCCTTTTGAAACCATTTGACTCATCCCTTTTCTTTGAAACCTCCAACGAAGGCGTAGATAGGCAGAGTCAATATGCTTGTTGCCATTTTTACTTCCTAAGCCACTGGGCAAGAAAATATTGTAAACGCGAAAAATTTCGAAAATAAGGTATGTTTTTTTTTTCGATGTATTATTTGTACATCACGAAAAACAGTTTCACTCAATTCCGTGGGTTGGTATGTCTGTCCATCTAATCGTTAATCCTAAAAAATAAAACTAACAATTCGATTTTATTCATCCTATAACATTACCAGCTGTGAACAGTGAAGTTGCCAAAACGTACAGAGTCAATCTACTTGACTTAATTTTTTTGTCCATTGAGAGAAAGCTCATTTAAACCCTCTGTATTTCCTGCTCACAGAATCAGCTAATAGGTTCTGCTTAATAGAAAAAGGTAAAAACATTCAGAATATCCCTTCTTGAATGGAATATATTCATATTTCGTCGGAAAATACCACATTGTTTATTTTCGTTGGATTTTAGAAACAACTCACTTAAAATATACAATCTTAACCAAGCTTATAACCAGTTGCCAGTATGTAAATACTGCATTGAACAATTATATTTCTGGGAAGCAAGATATTGCAAATACCACAATAATTCACGAGAATGCCATTATAATTATTATAAAAATGCGCAATTATGGTTTTAACGATACTTATGTTTGTTAAACACGTAGAACTATACACGCTTCTACGAGTTCGAGCGTATGCGATTTCAGATAACTCGATGAATTTATCACCTGTCAATTTCCAGTGTTTGTAAACAAAATCACGGTTAAGAGGAATTTTGAACTCAGAGATTTTGCAGTATCATTTGGTGGATGTTGGTAAAACATTACAAGAACAGATGACTGATTGATTCTATCGTTATAGTTTAGTAAAATGCATAAACGATTATGCCTGCTCCTACTTGAAGAAATATAACTGATTATTTGTTATCCGCTGATATGGTGCGATTAATTTTTTTATTATATTTATTTATTTTTAGCCCACAATGCGTTTGTTTGTTGACTGAGCTTTTGAAACACCAATCGTGTAAATTTTGAAAATACCGGAGAGTTCCTTTCGACTATGGATATCCGGACAAGTTTATGAACATAACGAGAATTTTTCTTTTGATCATGCAGTAATTAATAGGCATTATTGAAGTTATGAATCTGGCGCCTGAACCCTAGACGCATTTGGTTTTATCCTTCGAAAAAGTTGATACTGTTCGATATGCCGGAAGCAGACCAAAACAAGAAATTTCAAATTAATGGAAGTGGAAGTCATCGGTTCTCAGACCAAGTAGTGCGCATTGTGGACCTAATTACACTATTGATGTGCCATTGGGTGTAGTGTTTTGGTTACCTGAAAGGTGAGCAATCACTGAGTATTTCCTTTATTATGCTGTACTGCATAGATTGTTAACTATAACACTTTTATATTTATGATTATGGATGTCGTAAGCCATATTTATAAAGAAGCTTTGATGGTATAGCCCCATTTATAAAGATGCTTTGAGCAAAATATATTCATATTTATCAATATGCTTTGATAATATATCAATATTTTATAATGAGGCGTTGATCATATATCCATATTTATAAAGATGCTTGGATCATATATCCATATTTCTATCAATGGCTTACGGACTCAATAATTGCGGATAAGGATTAGGTGGTTCATACAGGGGTGACGCCTCCAGTCTCTGGGGGTTGTTATGGGCTTTCGGAACCCGATTGCTGGGTTTAGGTGGTTATGTTAATTACTGCTCGGTTTCCTCTATCAGGGGAAACGACGGAGCGCTTTGGATGTTGATACGATGGCCTTTGACCGACGTGGCATCCTAGGTCTGAATGAGCGCTTAACCATCTTCTCTTGGTAACCGCTGGCATCTGAATGTATCTCATGGCAGGATGTGCGTAGGGATTGATATTCTAAAGCTTGTCATCTTGCTCGGTTATCTCTGATTAAGAGGTAATGTCGGAGCCTTTGGATATTGACACAACGGCCGTTGGCCAACGTGATATCCTGGATCCTGGACTGCTTTTCGTAACAATCGTTAAACTCAGCATATCTGTCTATACGCCTGGGTATCAACATGGGTTGCTGTGTGCTTAAAACTATGTTGATCACATACAGGGTTTGTCCGAAATTATTGAGCCAATCGTTACAATTCTTTAAAAACTTTCAAAATAGGCTCCTTCTGCGTTGATGCAGCGCTTTCAGCGCGATTTCCAAGCATTGAAGGCGTCACGGAAGGCATTCTCCGGAATAGCCTTGAGAGCCGCGGTGCATGCTGCTTGGATCCCCTCTGTCGTCTCAAAATGTTTGCCTTTCATCGGCCTTTCAGGCGAGGAATCAAAAAAAAGTCCGGGGTGGGGGGGGACATCTGGGCGTAGGGCGGCTGCGGAAGCGTTGGGATGCCGGCCTTGGTCAGGTAGCTGTTCACAAGAAAGGCGGTGTGAGCCGGGGCGTTGTCGTGGTGCAACTTCCAGTCGGCTGCGATGTCTTGTCGGACCCGACTGACCCTTCGTTTGAGTCTCCTCAGCACTTCCACGTAAAACTTGGCGTTGACTGTTTGTCCAGGAGGAACAAATTCATGGTGGACGATGCCTTTGATGTCAAAGAAGACAATGAGCATCGTTTTCACTTTGGATTTGCTCATTCTTCGCTTTTCTTTGGGCGAGGTGACGCCGTCGTGTGCCATTCGGAAGATTGCCTGTTTGTCTCGGGATCATACTCGTCACCTGCGATTACGTTATTCAAAAATTGGTCACTTTCACACATGTTCAAATTTTCTTGACACACTTCCACTCGCCGCAATGTCTGGTCGTCAGTGAGCACTTTTGGGACCATCTTCGCGCACACCTTGCGCATGTTCAAATGCTATGTCACAATGTCATGAACCACAGATTTTGGTAAATTTAACATCTGGGCAATTAAACGAATACTTAGTCGACGATCTGAGTTCAAAACTGTGCGCACACGAGTCACATTATCGGTGTTTGTCGAAGTCGAAGGTCTTCCAGTACGGTCTTCATCAGCGACCTCTTCCCGGCCCTCGAAAAAGGCCTGGTGCCAGAAACACACCACTTCTTGCTAAAGCAACACCTGGGTAAGCCTGCTTGATCATATCAAACGTCTCTGTCGCAGATTTACCAAGTTGGCTGCTGTGTGATTAAAATTGCCCAAGTGGAGGGCTGTGTGTCCATGAGGGACTGTGTGTCCCAGGGGGCTGTGTGCCCCCGCTCTTAGGGTCTGCGGACCAGTATATGATAAATCATAAATAAATAATGATGAATTGGTACCACTGCGGATAATTAATGTAATCCTAAGGTAGTGCTTGTTATGAGTCGGTTGAATATGGGAGGTACTCAAGTCATTTTTTTAAAAATTGATACTGGCCCCGACAATCCGATCATATTGCCCTTACCGCTTGCCAAAGGAGGATAATTCGTTGCCGTTCCGTCACCTAGTAAGTGGCTTTAATATTATCCTTACATTGTTGCCCATATCGAATTTTTTACGTACTGTCATTGCAGAAAGAAACGAAATGGTACAGGGTGGTACTATCGAAACCTTCTAAGATGGGTTTGTGGTTTTCACGTTTATCATTATATTCTATTATTATCATATCTCGTTCGTTACAATACCCTAAAGCGATTCTTACATTAGATGCTTTTACTTTCCCTTTCGCCTGCAAAATCAGCATGACCTTGATTTGACATTTTAAAGGTCATGCTGAAAGACAAGTAAACAACCCCGACTTTTCCGTGCTCTTGTGAAGAGAACTGTTCATTGGAGTGTATTTTTTTGAATTCTAGAAACAACTAGTGTCAGATCAACGTATAAAAATAAATTTACCTGTAATTAACCTTGCAAGGGCCATGGTCAAAATGACACCATCGAACACAATCCTGCAAGGTTTTTTTTGAAACATTTCTTCCAGTACTGTAATTATCTAAGTATAGTTAGTATGAGAACTACAATCTGCACATTCACTATTTTTACAAATCGGGCCGTTTATTTCACATAAACTAATCGAAGAACGTTTTTGGTCGCATGTGAAAAAGCGAGAAATATATCATTCTGAATTTTTAGATAAATCCACCGGGCCCCATTGTTCATTTTACTTTCCACGTCTACTGGCGAGTATGTGTTATCAGGAAAAATTATAAGATCAGCTATTATGTTGTTTAGATGTTATATGACTTTACCAAAAACCGTGTCACTCATTTCCGTCCGTCGGTCGGTAGGTCGGTCTGTCTGTCCGCTTATTTTTGACCTCTCAAACTGGGAAACTGCCGCCTGGATTTGGATGAGATTCTAACACAGGGTTTGGAGTTGTTGAAAATAGGTCCAGTAACTTTGTTTTTTGATATTTCAGAGGATCCTGATCATTTTTGAAAAAATATAAGGGGTAATTAGGGATGGGGGGTTGTATGATGCATTTCTTTTTTATTTCTTGACTAGTCAGGACGGCAAGTAGTAATTTATAAAATGTTTTGAGTTACCACCGGACGAGCTCCGAGCGGTGGCGTGAACCAAATGGCAGCTTGATTCATTTTGTTATTCTTATAAAATACATATTTTACGTATGTAACATTCTTTTTTCTTCATAGGGAACAAACCTTTCTATGTCTATGTTAATGGTATGGTCTTAGGCACGACAACCCTTGTATTTTATAGGCCTTGCTATCAGAACTGCATTTAAAAAAATTCTTAGTAGACTCGGAATATTTTTTTTTCGGTTATGTATCTTGGCGAGTATGCATTTTGGCAAGATATTTCTGAGTATTCTGGGGTATGATAAAAGTAAAATGGGATTTTTGTCAGTGCTGACCTCGAATTTGACCTTGACCCTGTTATTTCGACCCCGGAAATAGGTATAGTCATAGACGAAAATTTCACGTTCATATATGATCTTAGACAAAAATCAGTTTGACCTTGAAAGTCCTTATTTGTCGAACGAGGGTTTTACTTCACACGCCTACTGGCGAAAATGAGATATTATTTTTTTTGGATGTTATATGACGTGTACATAACTGAAAACCGCGACATGCATTTCTGTCTCGGTCAGTCTGACTGTATCATTCGGATTTTGATGAAATTATTACACAATGTTACTATGATGCCAAAGACGAAAAGGCTTTGTAGTTTGTGAAAATCGGTTCAATGGCGGCGGAGCGCTGGCCAAAAATACGAAAAAAATAAAAATTACTCAAATTTCGTTTTTTGGCGATTCAGAGACTCGTGATCATTCTCGGAAACACATGTTGTAAGCGGTTCAAAATGGGGTAGTTGGGAGTTGCAGGGAGTGGGGGAAGGTATATCTCATTTTGTTGGCGGCATTATGTTAATACGCTTCCAACCTTGGTAGTTTTACGCACCTCTCAGTACATATTTAACACAGCAAAGATTTCCCAGTACATTTGCCCTTATAAGTTCGAGAAACATTTAATTTTAAACCAGAGATCCAAAGAAATGAGGGTACCGTGTCGACATATTCAAACCTGCAATCCGAGGATTTTTTTTCAGCCCAAATAATGTATTACTCGCTCTGACAAAACTTTTTGGTGCCAATGCAATACATGGAAATTTGCACAAAGGCGTGAGAAGTATAGAGTCAATCTACTTGACACCATTTTTTGTGTGCGGTTCTTGTAGGAAGACAAAGAATTAAAGCTAATTATTATTTTTACATATATGCTAAATAACATCTTTTGTTACAGACGCGGATTAACGCCTCCACATCGGGTGAAGTCGATCTCAATGGCGACTTTTACCGCAGAAGAGGTGGAACTACTACGTAGTCGCGGTAACGAGTACTGCCGGCGGGTGTGGTTGGGGTTGTACGGCAGTGGGGGCGCGGATACTGCTCCCGTGCTCAACTCGAACGACGAACATACCATTAGGGATTTTATGATCGAAAAGTACGAGAGGCGGAGGTAAATGCATAACTTATTTAATTTATTACTGTCACACTAATTTCTAACACTTGCATTTCATTTATGACAAATTTATAACTATGTCGACTGCAAAGAATACAGAGTTACCAGTAGAAGGGGCACTTGCGAAAAAGCCTTTGATTTGGTGACTTCTAAAGATGCCATCATATTTCAAGAAGTCGGATTCCTCTTGTTGAGCCTGACTTGAAGGGGTCTTACACTTTTTTATTGCTTTATACAGGGCAGTGCTGTCATACTTTGTCGTACTGTCTTTGTCATTCCGTAACCCCAGTAAACATTGTGCCGATTTTGACAAAACTTGGTATATACTTCGTAGTCACAAGCTTGAGAATGGATGTAAGGGCGATAAGTAAAAAATAAATGTTTTTAAGTGTTCTTACCTACAGTTAGGTAAATATCTAAAATAAAGAATGGGAAATAACGCGAAAGAAATGAAATGAGGATTCCATAAATTACAACGGATTTGATGGAGGTGTACCATTAGTAATTTTCCTAAACAAATATATAGATATAGAAATATACATATCTTTCATCCGTCCGACTACAGACGGCCAACCATGGACAGCTGTTTCGTGCCTTTTGGCAACTCCTCAGCATGGTGTAGGCTTGGTCTCAGGTAGAACAATGGACGACAGCTGAGCAACTATCCTCTATTCATAGTATAAAGACTATGCAAATAAGAAAGCACAATTGTTTTCACTTTCGAAGTTGTCGATTCTGGTAACAGATGTTACTTGTTCTGTCTTTTTTCGATAAATATATAGATGAGTTAATGTTCTCAATTTAGGATTAGCTTTATTTGCCCTAGTAGTGACATATTTGAATTGACAATAAATGCGGATTTGTACTGGGTGCGCCATCTTTTATGTCGGTATTGAAACATCGAATGACTTTGATATTTACCAACCGAGTGATTTGGTTATACGTGTTTCTGAAACGTCAATTTACTACAAATTTAGTCATGAATCGCTTTACACCGAAAGAACGCACCGAATAGTCACAGTGTACATTGAAAATCGTAGTTCAGTTGTGTTAACGCAACATGCATATTGTCGAAAATATCGTGGCAAACACTATCCGTCGTTTGGTTTCGAATTTTCTTAAGTACGGGACAGTGGGAGATCGTCAACATACGTTAATCGACGACCAAAACGTTCCAATGAATTGGTTGAAGCGGTCAAAGACAGGGTTGCCCAGAACCCAAAAGTGTCGTATCGTCACCGCGCTCAGCACTTTGGCAGCGGTGGAACCACGTTGCGGCGCATTTTGAAGGATGATTTGCATTTGTTTTTTTATAAGATTCAGTTAACACAAAAAATATTGGCAACTGACCGTCCACGTCGCTTAGAAATACGCCCAAACAGTCGCTCGCATGGTTGATGCTGAACCTGATTTTTGGAAGCAAATTGTGATGACCGTCGAGGCAAATTTCACGCTCTCTGGCGGCGTTAATAAGCAAAACCGCCGCATTTGGGAGACGGAAAATCCACGTGAAATCCACGAAATGCCGTTGCATGACCGGAAAGTGACCGTTTGGGCCGGCGTTTGCGTCAAAAGCATCATTGGACCATTTTTCTTCAACGAAAACGAAACAGTCGATGGAAATCGATATCGGTGGATGTTGGCTCATTAGGTCTGCCCACAAATGCGCAAAAAAGGTCTTGATGGTTACTGGTTTCAACAAGACGGTGCGGCATGCCACACTGCAAATGAAACAATCCAGTTTCTGCAACGAAAATTTCCGTCTGATGTCAAAAAGAGGTGACATTGACTGTCCACCCAGGTCTCCAGATTTGACCCCACTGGACTTCTTCTGGTGGGGTTATTTGAAAAGTCAAGTGTACGCCAGCAAGCCCCAGACCACTGAAGAACTCAAGGCAAACATTCGTACCACAATCGCCGCTATACCACCAGAGATGCTCGAAAAAGTAATGGAAAACGCAGCAAAACGGGCACATTTTGTTTTGGCCAATAAAGGTGCCACTTGATAGATGTTGTGTTCCCAATAAATTGGAAAGGACCATATTTAATAAAAATACCCGAGATATAGAAATCAGTTTTTCGTTTTCAAAGTACTTTCATGTTTAAATAACCACATAAAAGATAGCGCACCCTGTATAAAATGAAAGAAAATCAACAGTAGAAACTGTTCGCAAGGCTAAGTGAAACTGACGCAAAAGTCTTCATTTTTTAATCGTTTTCATCAAGTTCTTTGTTAAGATTTCCTCCAATTCCCTATCATATCCGACGGAGCTCCGAAAAGGCACTATCAACCCTCCAAATTGATCATGGGCTATTTTGGAAACTAGAAATAAAACTACACATCACATTTTTGTAATATCGCTTTTTGACACTGTTACTCATAAATCATACATATACTAAGTGACATATAAATCCGAACACCCAGTTTAAATGGTTTTATTTTAATAAAATTTTGTATAAGTACTTAATGAAGCATAATAAGTAAATGATAAAAATTTCAAAATGATTGCACTGCTTTAAAGCCCTTTGACCTTTAATAATGTGTGGATGCACCCTGATGTGCTACGCATTCTCCAACGCGCCTAGGCATGCTTCTGATCAGGTGGTCAATGTCCTCCTGTGGTATCTCATTCCAGGCAACCACCAACTCCTCTCGAAGTGCTTCTAGAGTCTGAGGAGGACGTTGCAAATTGAGCAATCTCCTACCCATCATATCCCACACGTGCTCAATTGGTGATAAGTCGGGAGATCTTGGTGGCCATGGTAACAATGTGACATCATTATGTTGAAAGAAGTCTATTGTGACTCTTGCAACATGTGGTCGATCATTATCTTGTTGGAAAGTTGGATCTGCCAGGGTGTCAAGATAGGGTAAAAGATGGGGTTCTAGAACTTCGTGGATATAACGCTGCGCGTTCATGTTACCTCTGATGAAGATTAAAGGTGACCTGAAACCATAAGCTATAGCACCCCAAACCATAACTCCAACAGTGTGATGAACATGTCTTTCAACAAAAAACTGTGGATTCCTCATTTCACCACGTCGCCTTCTAACCCTGGCACGACCATCGTGCATGCCTAAACAAAATCGAGACTCGTCACTAAAGACAATACTGTTCCATTCCTGATCCCAGAGTGACCGTTGTCTGCACCACTCAAGGCGATTACGTCGGTGTTCTCGAGTTAAAGGGAGGACCCAGTGTGGCCGGTATGAAAACAAGCCAAAACTTCTCATTCGTCGATAAACACTTCGCATGCCAATAGGTCTTCCATGTTCTGCAAACCATTCATTTGCAATGGACCTGGTAGTGGAGAAACGGTCCCTTAAGGCCAATAATCTTAGGCGGCGATCTTCACGGTCTGTTGTTCTGCGGCGGCGTCCAGTGCCCCTTGCTCTTTGCGTACGGCCTTCTCGAAGCCATGCCTGACAACACCTAACCACAGTGTCTACACTTCTTTTTACTCTAACTGCAATTGCCCGAAAAGAAAGTCCAGCTTCCCGAAGTCCCACTATACGGCCCCTATCAAACTCACAAAGTTGACGAAATCGTACAGGTCTCCGTACTCTAGGCATCGTAACCGATCGTAAAGGATGTCAAGAACCAAAATCCGCCAACGTTGATTCTTTACTGCGGCTGAAATATTCATTTTTAGAGCGTTAGTGAATTAAAAAAAAGCAGTATAAAAACCTGAATGTCCAACTGATAAGGCTGAACATTTTTTCACTTGTTATTTACAGTAAGACAAATACATTCACCAACTTGTATTAAAATAATACCATTTAAACTGGGTGTTCGGATTTATATGTCACTTAGTATATATTTTGGATGGATATCCTTTATCAATTACACCTCGACTTATGCTCCTGTGCTGTGTGAAAAAATGGATTTCAAATATGCTGGAATAACAATACTGCACTTAAGTCGTTAGCAAATCAACTTAAGATGGGAACATCATTTCCCTCCTTTATTTTGAATCCAGGCACGCAGCACCATATTGTCACAGTGAATCGCCCTGTACACATACAACAGCCACGTGACCCACTTCCGACGCGATGGGTTGCCGGCAGACTACCTGGGTAGTCATAGTACAGGAAGTATCTTCGCATCTGCTTATAAATATATTGTTTGTTTTGTTTTTCGCATAATTTAATTGAAAAAATACCCCTTTCCACGAGTCTGCATGTTGTCAGACCTAAAATTGTGTCGAAAACTGTTTTTCCTTTTTATTAAGGTTGTGCAAAAACCACCTATTCAGAATATTTTTCCTAGCAGATGCGAAAATACTTCCTGGACTATTAATGCAAATAATGAATGGGTGATCGCATTCAAATGGCAAGTTATGATTTCAGCCACCTTGGCAGAATCCGTTTTTTGATAGAGTGGTTCTTTTACTGGTAACTCTTTGGTCGACTGGGCTTTGTTGTAGCTGCCCGTTGACTATCCTTTCAACCGTCGTTGCGCCTTTATATTTTGAAAGGAGAAGCTTTGCAGCGCCGTCTTCGAACTTCCAGATGATGCCACTTGATACTTCTCGAATGCTCCCGAAGTGGGCAGAACGCTCTCGAACGTGAACTGAAGCTCCGCCATGAGGCCGCAAACGCACTCTCGCAGCCCCGTAACTTTGCGTCGATCTTTCTGGACACCTGTCGCATCTTGTGCGATGTACGAGGGTGTCTCGCTGGTACCCAAAGTACCAGTTATACGAGGACGTTACACTTATACAGGGTGTCCCAACTAAAACGGAAAGTAGTTTTATGAGCAAACTGGAAATGATATCAAAAATCTTGGCAACCTTGTTACAAGTGCATATTTTACTATATACAGGGTGCTCGATAATTTTTTTAAATAGAAGCCTATATTTTATTGCATGCTTGGGAGCCCTCTCAGCGTATTCTGCCTGAAGTGTGAGACTCATCTAATATTTTTTTACCTCTATCTCCATACTCAATTTTGTTTTCAGGTATTACCTGGAGCCCAGCAAGGCGATATCGCCCTCAGCAACCACAGACTCAAAATCCGCATCACCATCACCCCCAAATCCCCTGATAGAAGACCCATCGGCACCTCCACACAAGCCTATACAACACAGACCTGCCTTCAGGCGTCACACGCCGTGGGTCAGGTCGGACCCGAACAAAAAAACTGTTAATAATAACAATTTGAACAATGGCCATTTGGAAAACGGGTTTGTGGCGGATTTTAGCAAGACAGATTTGTTTGGGGGTATTGCCGAGAATAATCAGAGGGTGAACGGATTTGTCGCTGACTTTGATAATAATCCTGTGTTTAATGGTACCAATAATACGCCAGGTGAGTTGTGGTAGCGCTAGCTTTATACAAACTCATTTTCCTATACAAAATGCCAGTTGAGTTTTATACAAAAAGTTTAATATTCCTGGGCTATTTAAAATCGAGACTCCGAACGTGTACAGCCGCGCATAATAAGTTCCTATATATTGACGAATGTTTTGTAAAGATCAAAAAAAATATTTTCAATAAGAACGTGTGTGAAGTGATACAAACAGTCTTCTTGAAAGAGTATTCTTAATGCTTTTCGTCTGATTGTTTCATGGTGTGTATAGAGACCGAAAAACTATATTATCAATTTTTTTATCAAAAATGAACTTTTTGCATTTTTATGCTTTTTTCTACAATCGTAACTCGTTAACAAGTAACAGTACAGCTCTGAAATTGTTTGAGAATATTCCACTTCTTTTGGGCGCTTTTGAAACCAGTGTTAGGAGTAAAAAATCTTTCTGAGACGCTATTAAAAAATCTTATGAGAATCTTATTCCAAATTCTGAAACTGCCCTGTATGCACTACGATTGGTTGCTGAGATATCCGTCGTGGAAGACAAAAATGATCATTTTTCAATGCAAAGTCGGATATCTCCCAGAGAAATCGACGTCAAGTTAAAAAAAACTGGATAAGCAGGCTTTAAGCAAAAATTATCCATTGAGAAATTTTCCCTATGATAGCATAACAATAATGACCACGACATTTTTAGCTTAAAATATTAGAAAACTAGAACGATTCAAAATGTTTTTTTAAACCTCGTGTTTTTTTACCTAAATGTCAATCTATGGGCCTAGAACGACAGCTAATATATAAGTCTGAAGATTTTCTGCTTTTATAGCTACATACAATAATGGACAAAAGTATATAGACAAATTAATATTGTGCTGAAGCAAAGTTTATTGAATTATAGAAAACCAACCATGTCTGTGTTAATATTTTGTAGCATAACCATTATTATCAATCACCGCCTGGCATCATCTTGGCATAGTTTGTAGAAGTTTCTTGATATAAGATTCATCAGTCTGTCTCCACTTTTGCTCTAAAGCGCCAAAAAGTTCATCCTTGTTTGAATAATGTTTATCTCGTATTTGCTTATCTATGTATTCCCATAGACTTTCAATGGGGTTTATATCGGGAGAACGTGAAGGCCATTTGAGAACTGGCATTTTTTCATCCAGAAAGAATTTCTTTGCGAGATTTGAAGTGTGCTTCGGGTCATTATCTTGCTGGAAGATTGATCTTAAGGGCATATTGTCTTCCATATAGGGTAACATGACATGCTTTAGTATGTCTGTGTATACAAACTTATCCATAATGTCATCTATTCTACGTAAAGGTCCCATCCCAAACCTCGAAAAGCACCCCCAAACCACAACAGACCCGTCTCCATGTTTGACAGTGGGCAAAGTGTACTTGGGGTCCAATCTTTGTCCACTAGGACGTCTAACGTAATGAACACCATCTGATCCAAACATATTGAACTTGGATTCGTCACTGAAACATACCCTCTTCCAGTCACAGATGCTCCAATCAAGATGCAACCGAGCAAATTGTAATCGGTCGGTTTTTCCTCGAGATTAGCGGTTTCTTACTCGGGCGACGTGCAAATAACTTCAAATCATTTAATCTTCTACTTATAGTTTTCGTAGAAACACTGACAATTCCTTTTGTCTCGATTTCGGCTTTTATTTGTCTTGGGGTTTTAAACGGATCTTTGGACGAAATTACTTTTATTAATCTAACTGATCTAGCTTTCACTTTTCTAGGCCGACCACTTCTCTTAGAGGCTTCCAAGCTTCCAAGATACCTTTTTGTTTATATTTGTTCAATATTGCCCAAACTGCTTTACGCTTCAGCTTCAAATTTTTGTCAATGTCGACTTGTCGTTGACCATCTTTGTATAACTCAATTATCTCAGTTTTTACATCGAAAGAAATTTCTGGACCACGCGGCATGGTCTTAAAATCACTCAATTTATTCCACAATACTTGATGAACATAAACTAATCCTCTTCTGACACGAAACTGTACTAAACTAATGCTGAAAAGAATTTGCCTACATATTTTTGTCCCTCTTATATTCAGACTTGTATTATGTTCATTGCAGATAATGTAAAAACAAGGAATTTAGTTTTTCTACTAATAACGCATTTGTTTATGGAGCAATGAAGTATGAATTCGTTTTCTAAAGGTGTTTAGGTAAATATTCATATTTGTTTATGTACTTTTGTCCATTACTGTATATCATAGTGTCTCTGTCGATTCTATCTTTCGCTCTCTCGTTCTCTCTCATTTACGCTTTTACACTGTATTTAAACCTTAGCTTGATTGTTTCATGGTGTTTATATGTCGTGGCCGTATCGTAGGATGGACCATTTGAAAATGAAATGTTCAACTAAATTTGATCATATCGTTAAATCGTCAACATTTAACGATTTGGTCATCCACGATTGATCACATCGTAGAATAGGGTGTCCATAAAATGTTTAATAAAAATTCAGAATATCTTACACACTCATTTATTGTAAGACAACCATATGGATTAGAACTAGTAACTTCAGGAAATTAAAATAATTGGGTATTTCTCAACAAATTTTGCATTTCTTAAAAAAACAATGGAAATATATATTTTTTTTGCAGAAATATAAAGTTTTACTTTAATGAGGTTCATTGGAAATGAAGGTCCTCCATATTTTTGTGTATAATATGTAGAAAAATGATTTTAAAAAACTATGAAATACGGGAATGACCAATAGGATGGGGGAATGATTTTTACAACAATTTGATGCTGAATTTCAATGAAAAACTAGTTAATTTATTAATAGATGTATTGAGATTTGTATAATACTTTCGAGATCTTAGATAGTCCTTCTTCCCTGGGCACATCCTCGTATTTTCATCCTTCGCTAAGAAATTAATCTCATCCTTAACTTTCAGCATTTTGGTGCTAACTTTGGTACAGTTCTTTTTGTACGTATCGTTTTTGACAAAATGTTCGATCTATATGGCAATTTGTATTTTTCCACTAATTGCCGCCTCAACATTTTGTAATATTTTTCTTTTCTCCATGTTTACTTCCAAGATCTTCATAGTTATTCTTGAGGTCCGTTGAAAGACCTTATCCGAAAATCAGTATTTTTCTTATAACGTCAGGAACTTGTATATTCTTTAAAACCCAAAACACTTTAGTTGCTGGAGAGTTTGCGTCCGTATTTTCAATTTTCAGTCTCAAACACCTCATCTTATATTTATTTTCCAAACTTTTAATCCTCGCGTACAGAATAGTTCGCCGCTTGCACATTCTACGTCTATTGAGAGCAGACAAATTCTCTGCTCTGTGCTGTAAAGATGGTGCAGGACTTGGTGGGGGTGTTCAACTCTGTAAATTTGCTTCTCTAACTACTTTAATCTCCTTTTTCACGCAAAGCATCTAAACACTCGGCATTACTTTTCATTTATTCTCGCTTCTTTCTGTCATAATCCTTCTTTTTAATTTTTTTTCTTCTTCAATTAACTTCTTAGTTTTTCCCATTTTTGATATACGAATATATGTTAAAATTGAAAACACATGCAATACAACCTGGAGTTAAACAATAATACCCAAACCACAATTTTATATATGTAAAAGTCATTCCCTCATATAATTGTCATTCCCTCACTTTCTAATATAGTGAGGGAATGACGGATTTGCATAAACGACACCGTAACCAGCAGTACTTTACCTCAAATTGATGTAGCATTTTGTGAATGCATTGTACTCCCCAAAACAAGAAAAAATGTCGAACAGCAATTAATATAAACATTGAGGTAATGACACAGAGAAATGTAATGTTCTAATTATTGAAATCCAATGCTTTTTTGCAGCGACTCTTTTCACTATTACGAAATTCCGCCATGTAGACATTATTAGCAGTATTGCCAAGTTTTAAAAACAAAATAGCTGCGATCAAAAATATCAAATGATGAGGGAATGATTTCATTTCAAGGACGTAATGTTTAAATAGATTTTTTTATATACACATTTATTTTTTAGCAATGGAAGCTTGACTATACAATCCATACTTATTATCAAATATTTTAGTGATATCCAATTTATAATAATATGAACAGATTTGATTGTATAAATTTTTTTATTATTAATTTCGGATCCAGGGACGAGATGAGGGAATGACTTTTACACTAAAAAATTAATCGTATTTTTTGTTTCAATATATTATCTAAAATTTCAGTTTAGTTTAGTTTAGATACTTATTGATATAATAAAAACGTTAAATTGATGATAAATCCATGCAACTTTCATCAATGGCTCAGGACATGAATTTCGAAATTTGCCGAGAAATACCCAATTATATTAAAACATCCTTATATTGCACGTGTCACAAATAAAATTTTTGACCATTTTCTTTTTTACTCCAAGTATCACGAAGGCCTAAGGCCTAAACACCCATTGGGTACCGCGGGGCTATAGGGGGATACAGGGGAAAGGGGAACGCCACACGGACTCTGGCGAGGGAACACGTGTGCATGCAACATGCACACATTCTGGCTCCGCCTACGAGATCCGCCGGGTGGTACCTCCACGTTCGACAGTCAGAGACCGACTACCACCTACGGACAATCACAACATCCATAGCCAAGAGAAAAATTTCTCCTGGGACGGGACTCGAACCCGCACAGCGCACGGCGACTGATCAGGAGACCGAAGAGTCTACTACTGCGGCCACCGCTGGTGCCAGTAGTAAAGACTTTCAATCTCATTATCATCCCCATTTGGTAACGAGTTATTACAATGTTTACTTCGAAAAACAAATTTGTTTTAAACGACTGCCGTCTTGAAATGTTAACAAAGCGCTGCTAGCGCCTCTATAGGTAATTAATGTAAATATTTTACCATTTGAAATGCTTGACCATATCATGAAGTTTAGTGGATGATCTTGTTAAACGATTTGTTATCATTGATCTGGTCCACCCACAGCACGATCCTGACAATAGATAGTGATAAATTTCATGAA